AATTTGCACCCATTCCAGCATAACTAATACTGATTGTATGTGTGTCTCCAGCTGACCGGCCAGCCAGTGTTGATCGGCGGAACAATGGGAACTTGCAGTTACGTCCTTACTGGTACTGAACAAGGCATGACTGAAACCTTTGGAACCACCTGCCATGGAGCAGTGAGTAGGAAGACACTTTATTCTAAATCAAGGGCTTTTTGCTTCATACTTGTGTACATTTGGATTATATGCTAGCCAAAATAAAGCTTCAATTATTCTGGCAAGAGGAATGGGGTCATAAATCCATAACTGTTGAGGGATCGAATGGGGATGTAGAGAGACTTGATTACAAATCAACTTCCTGACTGTTTTAATTAGGATTCATCAATCTGGTGCCTGAAAGTAACCGCATTGAGATCCTGTCCACTTCCTCAAGATTTACTGACTCAAACTCATAATACACCACAAGACTTGAGTCCTAGGCATCTTGGTTGGACCTGGCTAGTCAAGGTCCAAGGTGGAACACATCTGAGCAACTGTCCTTATATATGTATGTTTGTATTAGAAAACTTTTAACAAATTCAGGAATCTTAAGAGTCTGCACTATTTATTCTAATATACGGTCAAGGCCATATGTAACTGTTTTCTTCATTCATGTTGCTAATGTTTGCTTCAACTGAAGACTGGTACTTAAAGAAATACATTATCCTACAGGGCCGTGCATTGTCCCGTGCCAAATCACGACGTAACTTGGATTTCCAGGATGTGTTGGACAAGTTGGCAGATATGGGGATTGCGATCCGTGTTGCATCTCCCAAACTAGTCATGGAAGAAGTGAGAGTTCTTTTAATCTTTCTTTGGACAATTTTATTTCTGGGATGGATTTCTTTTCACAGCAAAGTATTAGCATCTATTATCAGAAGAAAGAAAATACAGTTGATCAGAATCTACCAAATTAAATGCCCTAATTTCTGTCTGGAAAGGGTTCCCTTTTTCCTTTTTTGATTTGGGATAAATTATTTTCTCTTAACACCTCAAAGCATATTATTTCCTTTTTTTATCTCCTTTTTCCTAGGCTCCTGAATCTTATAAGAATGTGACAGATGTGGTTAACACCTGCCATGCAGCTGGCATCAGCAAGAAAGCAATTAAACTGAGGCCCATTGCAGTAATCAAAGGGTGAAGAAGCCATTCACAGAATCTTGACAGAAACTCTTCTTACTCAGACTACTTGTTAATTATGTTTCCATCCAGATGGAAACTCTGACAAACTGTTTGTTAGAACTTTTGGACTTAAGAAATATGGTACAAAAAAGATAAACCAAGATCTGTTGCTCTTTTGATCTAATGGCAAGTTGTCTGAAGCTGACTGAGTTTCTTTAAGGGAAAAATGTGAAACAGTTTTTCAGAAGATTATCTGATCCTAATAAACGGTCTGTTCTGTCTATAATGAGATTTCTGACCAGTGCTAATATGATAGCCATCTTTTTTTCAAGAAGGCTGGGTGAGTTTTTCCCCCCTAACTTTAGTTGTTTCTCTCTAATAAAGACTTAGAGTCCCGAGTAATAATATATAACATCTCTTGAATTTATTCGTTTAGCATGGCAATTTTTGACCAATAAATTAAGCCTGACTAAGCTAGTAATCTGTGGGATGTAGCAAAATTTGCAAATGTTCTTACTACAGACGTTCGTGAAGCAGCAGTTTCTTCTGAGGCGTTTTTGACTAAGCCAGGATAAGTTGCATCCCCACTACACAACAGAGGGTACTTTAGGAGCAGTTGATTCTGTGCACATCTCAGAGTAATATCTCTTATCTGAAGTTGTACTTGTACTTTAGTGGAGGAACAATACTACATTCTGAAAAAGAAAACCAGCTTTCCATTGAAGACATAGCTAGCTTTCAGTAATGCTTTAAGCCATTCATGTCTAGAACAGACCTAATAGCTATATCGATAAAGAGCTGAGGTGGTGCAGTGGTTAGAATGCAGTATTGCAGGCTAACTCTGCCAACTTCCAGCAGTTCGATTCTCACCAGCTCAAGGTTGACTCAACGTTCCATCTTTCCGAGGTTGGCAAAATGAGGACCCAGGGTAATATGCTGACTCTGTAAACTGCTTAGAGAGGGCTGTGAAGCACTGTTATATAAGTGCCATTGCTGTTGCTATCCTCCAAGCTGTCATTAAAAAATACAAAAACTTGGTCTTTTGTTGCATCTTCTGAACACTGACTAAATAGACCGTGTAGATAGAGCAGTATCTGAGTTACTTCTTAAAATGGCAAACTGGAAATCATATTGATTGTACTGTTTTTGACTTTACTTCTATCTTATAAATTTAAATGGCTGCTTATTTACATTTTTTTTAATTCTCCAAGACTTTCCAGATCTTGAAAACTTCTAAATAAAGCTGCAAGGAAATAATTGCAAAAGTTCACAAGTTACCTTTCATTTAAAGACAATCAGATTTATTTGTAATTTAGGAGTAAAGCAGATGTTTTGAAATGCTGTGGGGAGATGGTATTGCTGCTACTCCGTGGTATAAGTAATTTAATTTGAACTTTACAAATAATTTCTAGTAGTCCTAAATTCAGTCTGTTTGGACTAAGCTGTGTTGATTTTTCAGAACTCACAATGAGTTCTGCTTCATTATAAAATGTGTTACAATGAGAGCCATCAGTAGAGGGCAGCTTATTAAAGATAAACTGAAAAAAATGGCATTAGTAGAGAAAAGTTTGAAAGAAACACTGGATAAAGAGTGCAGTATTCTTTTGAAAAAGATTTGTAAACTGATGTCACTAGTAGTTTGCAATTAATTTAACAAGCCCAATAAACTAAAGTTTAAACATAGGATAAAACAGAAAATAGTTTGTAAAAGCTATATAAATCTACTCTTCAGACTAAGAGCATGACTTATGTGTGTTGAATCTCTGTCTCTTTGCCGTTTTGGCACTATTGCAAACAATAAATCATATTGTCTTTAGTATGAAAACAGAAAGATAGAAAAGTCGAAATTCTAATTACTGACAAAAAACACTCCTACATTTGTGTGAACTTTTGTGTCAGGCCTGCCTCCATTCAAAACTCAAGAAAGAGACCCTCCAACTTTAGATAAGAGGTACTTTTCCTGAGTTTGAAACGATAGCAGCGAAAACAAGGCAAGATCCAATTCAAAATGTGTGAAAGTTGCAGGTTGAAAGTCATCCCTAATTCCTCCCCACAGGGTCCAGCACTGAGAGTCCAATCAACATCCAGTATGATGTGGAAAAGCTTCAAGTATTTCTCCCATATGGAGTCTCAGGGTGGTTGGCCTTGACATACTGTAAACACCTCCCTTCAGCAGCGCCATAATTCATGAGTGCAAACCTCCCTTTCCATTCTCATGGGGCTATACCAGCTTATTTCCCTATCCCAAATACCTAAGGCCCCCCTACCCATTACTATGGCAGCTGATAGCAAGCACGCTGAAGAAACCTATTGTCTTCCCCCTGCCGGAATCTGACTCAGAGGAGGAAGCCAAACAGCTGACAGGGAGTGGGAGTGTGGCTCCATTGGCTGTGGAGGAAACTGGGGAAGGGCAAAGTCCGGCTGGGCAGAACAAGGTAGAACAAGGGAGAGGGAATTCAAAGGAAGACCCAGGCTCACCCCACTCTTCATCCTAGGCCACGCAGGGAGGAACTGAGAAGAGCAACGTGGGTTGCATGGCTTACAGGGGAGGAAAGGGCCCTGATTCCCTTCATTAGCTGCAGCTGGGAGCAGTGTATAAAAAAGGTAAGCTGTGTGCAGCAGACTGTTGGGAGCAGACGTGACTTTATCTTATATCGTCATGGCTTATCTGTGTTCCTGGCGTCTTCCCAACTGTGAGTTTTGCCGTGCTTTCAAGTCTGAAATTCCTGCTCCTGCCCTGCCAAACTAATTACTTCAGTTTGGTTTGTTTGGATTTTATGTTACAGTTTATGTGTACCTTTTTTTGAACTGAATTTTCTTCAGTCAAAGGCTGTTCCTTGGAGAGTTTTTTTTCAGCCCGAAGGTAACCTGGACATTGTGGGCAAAGTTGGAGATAATAAAGGGACTCTTATTGCTTATCTGACTGTTGCCTTTGTGCCATGCTCCGGATCATCACACCTATGCTGCAGATCCGGCTGACATTTTGTTTATGTGTGCCCTCTAGCATATCTAAAGATAGGATATTGATTTAGCCATCCAGCCTGCTTACCTAATACTGCATGAGAAATACAGTCTATGCAGAAATGAGTAGATTGACATTTGCTATTAGAGAGCAAGAAGAAAAAGTATTACAAAATTTGGAATTTATTTTATCACTGGCTAGATAAGAAAAAAGAGAAATAAAATACATTATAGTATTAATACAATATAATAGTAAAGATAATACAATGTAATGATAGGTTATAATTGTTTATTGTGAAATGAATGACAATATGAATCTGGTTTTGTAAAAGTTGAGACTTGCTCGAAAAGGATGATGTGAATTTGTAATCATAGTCTAACAATGATTTGATAATATCGAGTGGACAGTAGCTTTAAACATGAAATGTAACATAGATCAAGAGGGAACAACTTTTTATTTTGTGTTTTTGTGTTTGTTTATGTTGTTAAAAATTAAAAAAAAATTAAAAAAAGAAATACAGTCTATGACTTACAGAATATTAGGGGAGTTTTTTGTACCACTGAAAGAGAACTGAGTATGACTAAAGTGGTTTTTGTTAGTGAATTCACTTGGTTGTGTGTGTGTTTTGTACTGAAAAAGACAATTTATTCTTTTATCCTGTGTCAAGAGCTCATACACACTTCATTCTTAAAGTTAAATTTATAACTGGAATAATTTATGATTCCAATTCTTGCATCAAAGAAAACAAAATATCACTTCCTTTCCTAGCTAGTTAATACAGTTCACAATAATATCTAAAACACTTGGTCTCTTGGAATGTTGAGAGCTTGTTGCAAACATCATGGTAACCTTTGGGGAGAAGTGCTGCCTGTCCCCAAAAGCAGTAATGTGGGGCATGAGCTATTGATAAGGAAGAGGTTCATGCATGCTGTGTTGAGGATCCCGGAGTAAGTTTTCTAATTTCCCTTTTTGCAATGAACTCAGATCATGAATAATGGGGAAATGGAGCCCCTGAGAAATAAATGATAACGGCTTACAGAAGTACTGAAGCTAATACTGTAATTCTAAAATTATTAATGGTGAGCTGGAAAGCATTGCTAATCTATCTGCAAACCATCAAAGCGAACCTAATTTAATGGGTTAACACAAGAAATTTCAGTAATTTGAGTTTTCTAATATTCTCTATATGTCTTTTTAACCATATTTTTTGCTTGAAGAACTAATGAGTTCAAGAACTACTCCATCTCTCATAATATGGTATCTTCTAAGTGTTACTTAACTGTAGTTCTCCTAAATTCTAGCCACTATAGTCCAAGAGCATCTAGGCCATAACAGGCAAGAACTTCAGAATTTTATATTTTTTACTTTCTATTCCTATATGACCCATCCCACAATTGGTGGTTTTGTTGTTCACTTGAATGGCAGTGTACAGTCTCCTACTACATTTTGGCAAAGACAACAGAGCTATTACCTTTGTTCTTTCTCATAAACATGCATAACTAGTTCTCTGTTCTCTTCAAAGCAATACCCTTCCTCAAGCATGTACTGGCATGTGCATTAAACTTCAGATGGGAGCCTTCTGTTGCAAAGAGAGAAAAAGAGACCAGTTTGTAGCTGGTACTTTGCTTTGTCTCTTTCCGGTAGAGGATTATTATATGGCATCAGCTTAAAGTTGTTGACATTATTTGAAAAAAGCAAAAAGTGTACCCTTTATTTTAAAATATACTCTCAGCCAGTCCTTGAGTATTGAAGATTTGTCTTTAAATGAATCCAAACTCCAGCTCCTCTTTAGGACAATGATGGTTTACACTTTATTTTAAACTTGCATGTTACTTCTAATATGTTATTTTAGATAGTGTGTGTGTATATATACACATACATAAAATATATAAACTGGTTGGAATATATCTAAATCATGAAAAAAGTATTGAAAGTGTTATTGCATTAAATGACAGTAAAATGATAATTGTTGTGGATAATAAGCAAATCTTGTAAAGAAATATGCAAAAATAACATTTAAATAATCCCATGAACAAAAAGCTGTTTACTTCTTCCTACTGGATCCATAAAACGCTTCTACAAATTACATTCTGTACTATGATCCAAAGAGATAAGAAAATTTATGACTGACTAGTCTACATATCTTTTATATCTGTCTGTTTATCTGTCTACTTCATGGGTTGAGCCTGAATTTAGGCCTTTCACGGTAATCTCTGCAAGAGAGTTTTGATTTTATATCCTTTTAAAATTGTGTGTTTATTGGAATGTTTTTAATATTCTTATAGGTTAGGAAAATCAGAATCTCAAAATCATATTGCAGACCTAAAATGGGACATTAATATCAGGGGTGGGATTCTACTGGTTCTGTCCGGCTCTGTAGAACCAGTAGCTCTGAAGAGCAGCAGACATAGAACCGGTTCTATGTCTGCTGATGTTTTTTCCCACCCACCCACCTGGGCTCTTACCTGACCTTTATTTCCTGATTATTTCAACTTCAGCTGCTGTGCCAGGCACAGCTGTAGTTAAAAAAGCAGGAAAAAAGGGCTTTTTGAAAGGCTGCTTCTCTGCACGCAGCATGCTGATGACGATTTACAGGCGCACGCTGGCACATTGTAAATCACCAAACTTCATAAATGACCGAACTGATAGTTCTGTTGGATCCCACCCCTGTGCTTTTTTCTAGTACTATGTTGTCTAGTCTCTGAAACTAGTTCTCACTTCGTTGGAGAAAAATGATGGAATCAAAAATTAATAGTAAAATAGATTTACAGAATAGATTTTTCACACATCAAGAATATGTTTCTCACTGAAATGTAAATCCTATTCATCTTTTTCAGCTGGGTTTCCTCTCTGCTTTTCCCAATGAATGATGGCCAAGCTTCAACTGGCCACAGTTTTCTCTTACATCTAAATTTGCTGCAAGCATCAGAAGGGTCCTACATTTCAATCATATATTTCCAAGAAGCATCTTCATCTACATACATAGAAATAAAAGAGTGTCATTATTTTTTCTCCCTTTGTTCCCCTGCAAAATAAAGTCAAATATAAGTTGCCTATATTTTTATTACAGGGTTTTGCCACCCACAAACAATACATTTTGCCTCTTCCTTGAGAGGAACATAAAAGTGATAATTTTGAATGTTATAATTGTCATTTTGAAAGCAGCATGCTACCTGCCACTGATTATTATGAAGGATTAGTTAAAGCACCCAAACAGTTGCTTTTGGTTTTTATTGTGCAGAAAAAAATGGTTTGTGCTTTCCTAAAACAGAGAGGCTATAATAACATTTACAGAGAAGTCTTTTCATCCTAAAAAAATCCCTTTTCAGAAACAGGAACAGAAGGAACTCATCTACCTTGTAATCAGTTGATCCAAAGACCCATTCGGCAGATTATGTGTCATTGCTGCTTATGAGCCTTCCAACTACAGATATGGCCCTGTTCCAACTTTCTTCCTAGGATAGTCATTGCTAGAGCCCTGTAGGCTTATATTAAATTGTGTTAGTTTCCAAGTCTAAACATCAGTATCTCCCAAGCTAATGACTTCCCATATATGGGATTAACGTTTTGAGCTACATATGCCAAGAATGTTGCAATACGTAGTTCACATCAGAAGTGAATATATTTGGGAAGAATTTGTCAAGATGCATATTTTTAAAAAGGTATAAAGCTTCTCCTGTCTACTCATTTCCACCGAGGCACAAAGAACGCTG